CTGAAGAAAGGTAGATCAAGACTAAAAGTTGATTACTTGAACTGAATATACTTCCCAGACTAGGTGTTCATATGCATAGAACTTTCTCCTGATGGCTTGCTATGTTTTCTGCTTTTGGTCCTTGGCTTATGTGCTTCTTATAGTTATGTGTCTGTATAGTTATGGACTAGTTTGGTTACTGGGGATGGGGCAATTGGAGGTGAGGTATGCTAAGCTACATTTGGTATTTGATTTTCAGCATCTAGAATATAGCATTTGTATACTATAGATTTTACTGTCTGCATACTTACTTCCTCATTGACTTATTTATCTTTCCATGTAGAGTTTAATTAAAAGGCAAAAGCATGTCAAGATGCAGGATTTTCACTTCACTCCTTTGTGCCCAGTTTGTTCTGTCTACTTCTCCTGTCTTGCTTCTTGACACCTGTTACCTTTCGTATTTTTTGACCTTACTTTGCCTTCAAAGTATTTGAGTCCAAAATACTGTTTTGTCTGAGCTTCCAAAAGCATGCTGGCCACCCTTCCTGGAACCTCCCCCAAGATAGTTGCTTTTGTAGTTTGTTCCACTTCTTTGATAGACAGTCAGTCTACTTTTTTTCAGAACTTGTAAAATATGTAATGTAATACAATGTGTGTCTTTTATAGCCTTCTTTTTGATCTTTAGCTTCTCTGAAGTGAGGTAGCTGTGTAAGTACAGCAGCCAGAGAGGGAAAAGGTTGCTTCTCAAAGCAGGTCAATTTCATGCAAAAAAAAAAGAGGAATTATTTAACTTTCAGTAAGGAAACCTAGGCAAAAATTCTTATTATTTGACCTTTTATTTTTTGACCTTTTTTGAGAAAGTTGGTTTTATTTTAATTTTTTTTAGGTTTTGATCTCATAGCACAGGTATTTGAGAGTAAAACACGGTCTCAGCTGGTCCCTGGTAATTACCTTTAGTCATGTTCATATCCCGGGATGTAACGTAATGTAGTACAAGTGACGGCCACCGTCACCCTTTCATTGAGCTGAAGGATCTCGAGAGCTGTTTGGGTTAAACCTTTCCTCTTGGGAGGCAAGGAAGCTTAGTATGCTTTTCATGCTCCAAAACACAATTACTATTCCAGGATGGAAATTTTTAATACCTGTGACTGTGTACTTAATAGGTAGCACATGAAACTTTATGGGTTTGAAACTGAAGTCATTTTGTGTTCAGATCCTTAAAATCGATGTGGCAGTAACTTCGTTTGCAAAAGACAGCTACTCTGATGGTTCAAGACTTCATTCTGGAAGATCAAATGCAGGACAGACACGTACAGGCAGCTCTTGGGAGGAATCGTGAGGCATCAGCAACTTTTCTTCAGACATGACCAGCTTTGACTGTTATACTATGGCTGTTAGGACATGGCACTGCGAAGGGCAATCTTCTTAACAGGCGTAGTCCATGAAATACTTTTTCTGTTCTTACTTATGTTTTACTTGTGTATCTTGTGCTTTCAAAAGTGTTTCTCAAATTGCAGTCTCTTCAAAAGAGTGTGTTAGATATTCTCTTGGTTCAGATTCCCAGAATGTTAATTGGTTGGAAACAATTTGCAATTTCAGTGTTCTGGACTGGGATTTGCTAATTCTTTCAAAGTATTTGAAGAAAAAATGGTGTTGGTAACTGAGAAATAGTCATGAACTAGTAGGAGAAGAGAGAATTAAGCTTTTGCAGAGGTAAAAGTGTACTTGGGCTACCTTTCCAAAACTTTGCAAAAATGGCCTCAGCTGTTCTGCTGTTAGCTCTGAACTACAGATTCGAAATTTGAAAGATGTGAACTAAAAGCAGCAGTATTTTAATTCATATGAAAATCCAGGTAGTACAGGAGAAGTTTTGAGCAAATATCATCTAGGAAATAACGTATGGTAGAAAAAGAAAACATCTGTCACCTGGCTAACTTGGTAAAAAAATTAATTTCTAACTGTAGTGTTACAGCTTCAAAATGTTTAATGTTCTTACTTAGAGGATAATTGAATTATAACCCTAAAAAAGGGAGAGAATATCCATCTTTATAGTTTTCTAATATAGCAAGAGAAGAGGGGAGCTTAGTCCTTGAGATTTTGGGACAATATTTTAGCTTTAATTAGGCTTTGATCTTGACCATTACTTAAGGAATTCCTTGGTTCATCTTCAGGGCAATTATAACAAAAATATTTGGTTACAGAGGTCTCTTAATTGAAAAATCATTAGTCAGCTCTTTTCAGAATTCCTCTTCAAGATTTTTACTAAAAGCTCTGCTTGTTTTATCAGCAATCATGTCTGGTCTACCTTCATTCTCTAGTGTTTTCGAATGAGGAAATTAAGCATTCCTGATTCATCATGTAATGCAGGTAAACTAATTAAAATTCCAGGGGAGAAAAAAAAAAATATGTAAGTTGATGCTTCAAGAGAAGATTGATATTTGAGGGGGTATAGCATAACTTGGGAAAGGTGCTCAGACACCAGAGGAAAGGAAGGACAGCTGCGATTCATTTTCAATTTGAGAAAGGCCGTACTGTCTTCTCAAAACTGATTGAGCTTCAGAACAGCACTATAGAATGCTTTGTTGAAAAGATTGATTCACATCAATGCTGCTTAAAAAGAAAAGCAGTTTCAAAGGAAAACCCACCTGAGGAACAGAGGAATGTTTACATCAAAGATGTCTGACAGCTCACAAATACACGTTTGTAACTTTCTGTGGAAATAACATCTTCCTTTCTTTTCCAGAAAGTTTTAATTTTAAATATCCTAAATTGGTATGAATTTATATTGGTATAGATTCAAGAAGCCCAGCTCTAATTTTAGGCAGGTGTTCTCTGCGATTTCAGTGATCAATGGCCTTGCTTGCTCTGACAGCGAGATTGTATTCCATATTCAAGGAAATTTGCAACTAAAGCAGCAGATTCCCTTAAAAATAAAGCTTCCTGGCTGTGTTCTTTGGAAATCCTGGAAGTGGCAAATAATATATGGATATTGAAATTTTTATTCAGCAGCATCTTAAGAAGAAATTAACCTGCACCATCGACAGCTAAAACAAAGGTGGAGGTTATTATTGCGTGTAACTATCGGTTACTGCTTTGCAGATTGAAATCTGGCAGAATCAGGCATTTAATGTATTTAATCCTCATTGCTTTGTATTCTGTATGATACCAAATAGCAATAACTTTTTAAGCCTCACCTACGTCATTCACATAATGAAGTAAGTATGAACTCCTGTTTGTAGGTGGTTGAAATTGCTGGTTGGTAACAGATGTGCAGACAGAGCTCTTCTGCTTAGAGTAACAGATTTGCAGGGTAGACTGTGTGCATTCTCCTGAAGTACAGAGCCAGTCCTCCCAGTCCTCGTTCGGTTGTTGAAGCCACCTTTTATTCAGTGAATGCTGGATTTTGTTGTCTTTGCTAAGATGTCCTCTTTATGTTCTTCACTGTTGCCTTGCAGTGGCTGAAAGACTTTTTTAGGTCAGTTTGTAGTCAGGAGCAATTAGGCGCTGTTCAGCAGACATCTGTCCTTCATATGCTAAGTAAGCAACCTGGTAGGAGCATCACCCTCGGTGCTGTGAAGGGGCTGACACTCCTAATGAAGTCTCTTTCAGTGCCGATAAGCCTTGTCAAAACCAGCCCAACTTAAACAGTAGAATCAAACCTGAGTTAAATTTTTCCCTTTCATCACACTTATCTTTACAAGTTAAAAGTAGAGGAGGTTATGATAAGATTTTGATTTAGCAGTGTTTGCATAATTCTGTAACATGCCAAACTAGCTTCCTCCCTAAATGTTTTTGGTTTTCTTAGTGTATGCAATAACATTGTTTCTCCATTCAAGGGGTATTTTTGGTTTCTTTCATGCTTCTGAAGTGCCAGCGTGCCATGCCAGAAATCAGAGTTAAATCCTGAAATGGCACTTCTATTTTGCAAGAACTAGTGGTTTTTTTAAATTTAATTGCTCTATTATTTTTCCTATCAGAGTTCTTAAATATTTTAGGTGTGGTATGTGTGAGAGGAAAAGCTAATTAATCCAACTCATGTTTAGAGAAATATTGATAGAAGAAATTTTAAATGGAGGAGCAGAGACTTTCTCTGATTAACAGCAGAACTATTAATATTCTGTGATTTAAAAGAAGTAAACGAATATTTTCAAGGCAGAAGGTGGTAAATATAAACTGAAAAGTACTGAGGGAGCTGTGATCATTTTGTACAAACCAGTTCCTTTGGCTCCACCTGCAGTATATGCAGTTTAGTAAGAATTTTGTAAGAGCATCGTAACCATCTATAAAAAGCAAAATCTGTTCTGTAAGCAGTAGATAAACAGTAGTGAGCTTTCCTTCATCTGATGTAATGGACAAGAGGGATGAGGTTTCTACTGTCTGGACCCAGTTTGAGTTAACTTACCCCTTGCGTAGCCACCTCATGAAACACTGTTAGTTTAGCCATGGTGTGCAATGCAGTTACGTTAACTTCTGAATCGGCTTCAATCAGACGCAGTATAGCAATGCTCCTGTCACAAAGCTGTTAGGTCCTGCCAGAACCTGAAACTGTGGAGTGTGGCATGGCTGCAAAAAACCTGAGCTGGCTTTTCTGAGAACTCAGTTGAAACTGGCAGACTGGTTGGCTTGGCTTGGCTTAGCCCCGCACTGAGTAAAGATGCCTGTAGTGATGCACGTGTTTGAGTTAGAGGTGTAGAGTCAGTCTTGACCAAGAAGCAGTATTATCTAAATTTCCTTTACTCCTAGCACCCCATGTGCTTTTCTCAGCATTAGTCATTTTACTTTCCAAATAATTTGATTTTGGACCTTAGTCTGGTTGGTCAGAGATGCATACAAATGAGTGAAGATGGAAGTTTTGCATCTCATTAAGAGTTGTGAAATGTTATACCAATATTTATTCTCCATCTGTAAAATCTGCCCTGGGAAGTATTTTCGATGTCTCAAACTTAGTTGTTTTTTCTTTAAACCTGAAAAAGCTGTGTTCTATCTGTCCATCATGTTTCACTGTTGTTTCTTCTTTGCAGGAGAAATTACTATGGTGGAAACTGGGCCAGCTTTAGTTTCTCAGGATTATTGTCCTGGATTAAAGAAAATCAGGTAAAAATTTCCCAAATTACTTCTTTTAAAATTAATTCTTGGTTGTTTGCATAATTTATTAAAATATAATTATTATAATGCTCTTTCTCTTCGGTAATGTGGCAGATCAAAGAGGTTTCTACTTTCCAATGGTACTGATTAAGACTTATCCATCTGGCCTGGTGTTCTGAGACTGTGATATGCCTGGTTTGTTAGTAATATTATCTGAGACCAGACAGTCCAGTGCTCAGTCATACTTTTGGGGTTCTTTAATTTATCTTCAAGCAGCTCACTATTGTTTGGACTCCTGCCCAGAGAAGCTGTGGATGCCCCATCCCTGGAGGTGTTCAAGGCCAGGCTGGATGAGGCTTTGAGCAACCTGGGCTGGTGGGAGGTGTCCCTGCCCATGGCAGGGGGAGGGACTGGATGGGCTTCCAGGTCCCATCCCACCCAAACCATTCTCTGATTCTATGATTCCTTTCCCAGCACCTCCTGTAAATGATAATTTGGTCTTTTCCATTCCCTGTTTGACTATTTTCCACTCTCTGATGTTTCAGTCCCTTTTGGTTTTCTTGTGTGCTTTCAGCTGATTCTTTTTAACTGTGAGAAAGGTACTTGTTGGATCCTTCTGTTCAAATGTCCTGTGAACAGGACAAAAAGATTAATGCTGATAGCACCTTTTTCAGTGACCAAAGTTTATTTAATTCATGACAGTCCACTAGGAATCTTCTGAAGAGGATGTTTATTTAGGAGATTGAGCACTTGGACTACATTAGCAAATGGATGTTAGTATTATTTACTGAAACATTATGAGCCTGTTGGTCCGTAGAAGATGGAACTTGTTCAGTTCAGTCTCATGCCTATTTATTACATAGTGCTCCCTTCTGGCCTAGTCCGCGGAGTTGCTCAATGTCAGAAATTAATATTCTCAGGGTTCTGTTGTATGATTTAGAGATTTCTGTGTGGACAGATTAATACCCAAATCACTGTATTTTTTCATATAGTCTCCTTTCAAAGAGTTTTCTCACAAAATTTGGAACTAACCTGACTGTGGCAAACCTGTCTCTTAGTACATTGTATTCAAAGTTATATTCAACTCTCTACTAAAACTGCTAAACTCAAAAAATCTGAACAGAAAAAACATTAAGACAGTGAATGTGATTCTTTCTTTTTTTTTTTTTTTTTATGCAAGATGTTACAACACATTATTTGGGATTGTAGAAATGTATAGTTCCAGAGCAACTAGCACAGTAAAAAATGTAATTTTGTAATTTTGCTTTGGAAGCAAAAAGCAGATATCACTGATGAATGTGAAGACTGGAGAAAACTGATCCTTGAGAATGAAGAAGTTATTTCTCTTACCAAGAAGGATAAAACTATTGAACATGTAGAAGATTTCTGTTTTGCTGAGTAAGTAGAAATATAGAAATAAAAATCATATTGTGCTTTTGGCCTCAAGCATTTCGCCATGCTGCCATACTGCATGTTGTCTCAAAAAGTAACCATGAGCTCTAAAGTGTTCTTCATGCCTTTGTGCTTTTGTTGAAGTCACTTCCACTTCGTTGAAACTAACTCATCCTTCTTAAACAGTCTTATCTGGATGCAATATAATTTGTTGGCCAACTTTGTGAGTTGGTAGTTTACTTCTGAGTAGAAGACAGAAGTGTTGTGTTTGTAGGTGTTATTAGCAGTAGGTAGTTAACGCACTACCATTTATTAAATTTTTCCATTCTTAGACTAGCAGCTGCTATTCTCGTAGTAAAAAGTTAAACTCGTTAGTACGTGTATATATATATAGTAAAATGAAATAAGTACACAAGAGTAGGAAGACAATTGGACAGTAGTACTGTAATTGTAAAAGGCTTAATTATGCTAAAATGATAAAGTAATATTTGCCCTTCAATATTTTTATGTTCAGTGGATTTAATTTACTCATTAATCAGTGCTTACCAGGATGCTTTAGAGGGATTGCACAGTCAAAGGCTCTTAGTAGTATAACGAGTCTTTTTGGGCTGTCACCTTCTTTTTGTTTTTTGAAGTATGGTAACTCAGGTCTTATTTTACATACAATATGCAAAAAATACATGCTTAGTTTGAAATACACACGTTTACTTCTGTGAGTATTTGTTGCAGAAGCACGTGAAGAACAGTATACCATCTTAGAACTGAGTATGTGGTACATATCTTTTAGTTTGGTATTTGTAGAGGTATGTCTGCATTAGAAGAAGTTCAGAATACAAACTTCATTTTTTCTTTATATTTTTAAATGGAAGTATGATACTTTGTTGTATGTAAGCCATGCAGAAGGTAAGCTTTTCACAGTGTTGTATTATTGAAAATGAAGAACATCTAAAAGTAACCTTGTGAAGCAGTAATGTTGAGTAGCATGTAAGCATAGCAATAATGAATGGAAATTGTGTGGGCTTCACTTGAAAACTGAACTATTTCTTTGTATTTATTTATCATTTTTATCCTTTGGATTTGGCACTGAACTAAACACTGTTCTGAATTCCTGAAAGGTTCTTTGGGATAGCTATGTAAGTTTAACTTTGAGTCCCTTAGATAATATCATAGGTAGCTGAATGAAACATTGACAGATATTCATATAGAAACATGCATTTCTTTCTGTAAACATCATAGGTAGGGAAGAAAATTAAAAAAAAGTGTGATTATACTAATACAGTCTGAAGGCAGACTCAGAAAATTCCGAAGGTCCATACTGAGCAGAAATGTGTGCTTGACTGTGTTGCAGATAAAATGTTATGTTTGTTTTAAAGCAGTATCAGTTGAATATTGTAATTGTAATCTTGGTGCTACAATAAATGCTGTTTAGAACCAGTATTAAATCACATTAAAGCTTTCATAGTATCTTAACTTTGTGTATGATATTCCTAAGAAGATGTGATGTTGGCTGATGGCCAGCTCAAAAGTGAGTCCCCAAGCACGCAGATGTCACAATTTATAGAAGTGAGCATTATACTTGAGTCAGAACAAAATAGAAGATTGTACTTTTAAGCACTTAACTTAGCCTGGCAGTACAATGCTATCTGTCTTGATTAGCACCAAAATAACTACAAAACCCACAAAAAAGAATAGTAAGATTAATAAACCTGGCAAAGAAAAAGTTTTCCAAAATAACTTAAAACTTTCTGAGATAGTCAATTATTGTGTTTCTGACAATTTACACATTCTGGCTAGATTCTGTTGTTTTTGCTTAACTTTTATAACTCCTATGAAGTAACCATTAAACATTTATTTTGAAAGAATAAACAGCTGGGTAGCAGTATAATATACACAGTGCAAATCTGAAATGAATGGCCTTAGAACAAAGTGCATCCATCAAAGGAAAAGAATACTGTGTCTACAACAAGCTGTATTGAAAAAAGGCAAATGGCTGAAAAATAAATAGTGAACACCTGTGCTGAATAAATTAACCAACTGGTTGGCAATTTTTCATTTGACCTATCTGAAGGGGTTGCTGTTACAAGGCATTAATAAGGCACATTCATTTTAAGATATTCCTTTGTTAGTACCATTAATTGATGAATGGTGGAAGATAATATTCTAAATTTACACAACAATTTGTCTGCAGATGTATTATTTTTTTTCTGAATTAGGAGAAGAATTGTCTGTACAAAAGTTCACTTTGAGAGATTTTTATAGACAGTTCTTACATTATCCAGGGATATTTGTTCCTATAGGAAGGATGTCATGAATTTAGATTATATACAGTTTTTAGGTTTCATTATGAAAACTGTAGAGCTGCAAATCATGTAGATTTTCGTATTCATTATCAGGAATTGAACAGAGATTTAAAATATGTAAATATAACATTTCTGTTACACTGCTTTTCAGACAAAAAAAAGACGATGTATCGTGAATCCAAATTTTATTTTGATTTAAAAAGTAACAATCAAATGTGTTTAAAAAGAGATTGGACTGTACATTGAGCTTGGGAGAAGGTAGAAAGAAAACTTGCCTCTGATTTTTTGTGTTATAAAAAGCTTTAGGATGGGTTAAATAAGAGCTTCATTCTTAGTTATTGCAATAATGGCAACAGCTTTTGCAGTTTTCACAAATGCCACATTCCAAATTCCTAAAAAAACCCCCAAAATCCAAACAGAACCCCAAAATTTAATTGACTTTAGTATTTTTAGTAGAGATTACTTTTTTAAAAAATCGACAAAGTACTAAATTTTTCTTTATTGACTTTAATTAGTATTTTTAGTAGAGATTACTTTTTAAAAAAATCGACAAAGTACTAAATTTTTCTTTGATATTTTATAGTTATTTAGTGCTTGCGATATGAAGCAAAAAGACATAATTAATGTACAGAAACAGGCTTCTTTCATTAGTGCTTCCTTATATTATTTCCTGTATTCCCCAGGGCAATAAGTGCTTCCTGGTGGCTGTGCACAAGCTGAGAGACCTGTTCCAAACTCTTATTTTCATGAGCCCATGTGAGTTCCCTGGCTTCTTAAGGGAGGAACAACTTTTAAAGGATACGGGGGGCTTTTTCCCTCTTTTTCCCTACAAGGAGCATTTTTATATGTATCCTGAATAACTCCTTGCTGTTCAGTGAATTTTAACCATCCTGTTAGTCATTGAAATTTTGTCCTGTATGTTAGCAGGTCACCTTTAAAATCATCGTTCATTAGTTTTCAGCCAAGATTAAATTGTTTATTCAGTGCATTAATGGCTGGTGGTATGAAGATAAAAAGATAGTGTGAAATTATTGCTGAACTCCCTTCACTTACAATGACATTGATTAGATTCATCTCAGCTGGTAGCACAAACTAAAATTCTAAGTTCAAAAGTACTAGTTTCTAAGGTAGATGTCATTGAAGTTCAAGATAAAAAGAGTAGATGAGATTAAAAGTGGAAGTCTGCTTTATAAGAGGAATTTTAAAGAATTGTGTCATGAAAAGGAAGTGGACTATGCAGAGTAAATGTTGTGTGGTTATGTCCCTCCTCTTGACTGGCTGCCTTCCTCTACCGTGCACAGATTTGTAACCCTTGCATAAAAATAACATTGCTACAGGAGGGAACTGTGTTCTCTGTGTCTGTTACTTGAACAAGGAGTTAGAATGCAAGGTCAGGGTTGAAGAAGTAATCTGAAAGTTTTGTTTAAACTTCGGTCAAAATTGCCTTCTTCTCTTGTGGGCTTGCTATAATAATAGTCGCAAAGTAGTCATGTATAAAGCATTTCTGTTTTCTTGAGTGAGTTAGATTCTTAAAATATCTGAGCTTAAGGACATTAGTGCAATTTTGCATTTAAATTTCAAAGGGTTTTTTTAATCCATAGGAAAAACCTAGCCAAATTGGTTTACTGTTCCTTTATTAAAATGCTGCATTTCTTTTGTTTACGTAGCTTTGTGTTGTCTATCACCAGGAGAGTTTTGATTTTCCTTTTAAGTTCATTCCATCTTTTGAGTCCATGTAAAATAAGAACCCCAATTTTTGTTTGTGGTTTTTTGGTTTGTTTTTTTTCTCCGTAGCAAAAAATACTCCTCTTGACTTATAGCTTTGCAGCCAAACAACCGAAATTCTTTAGTGGGTAATACACCTGATTTGGCCAGGATAAAGAAGCTCTAAAGCTTTTCATAAAAATGCTTGAAGGTTCCATTCTGGCACTGACTCAAAACTTTAAACAAGTTTTTAAGACTCCTTAAAAGACTTTTTTTCCCCTTCTTCCCCTTATGTTTTTAATCAGTCAGGATTCAGCTGAAGATGTTGAAGAAGCTGGTGCACTGCCAAAGCTGCCTGTCTTTGGAGCCTCTGGTGCCGAGGGAGTTGCTCAGGAATCGGAAAAAGAGTGCCCACGGATGGAGAGTGCCTTACCGGAGGCGGAGAGCCGGGAACCAGAAAAGGCTCCAGGCACTGAGCCAGCAAGTGCAGTGGAAGGGAATGACGTGGAAATAACCTCTGAGAATGGCAGTTCACAGAGTACGGCTTTAGGCGAGTCCACCCCGGAATCGGGAAGAGCTGAAGCTGCACCCTCAGAAACTTCTGCCCAAGAACCAAAGAAAATTACATATTCCCAAATTGTTAGAGAAGGCAGAAGGTTTAATATTGATTTAGTTTCCAAGGTAGGAACTGCATGACTCTTTTCATATGAATACATTTCTTAAAATGCTGGAGTTTTAAAAGTCTTCAGTGTTGCAGAGGGCTGACCCAGTACCTTTGAGGGAAAAAATTCTTGATGAATTCCAGAAGTTCTGACAGAGGAGTAGTCATCAAAGCAAGACTAGTAATTTGCATTGGTTTCTCTCTGGCAGTGAGACACAGACTCTCTAGTAGTTTCCTAGTTAGTGTTCCAGAAAACCTTTATCTTGAAAATTCCTGTGTGATCTTGCAAATTCTGTTACTCAGGGCCACAAGACTTGAAGCATGTTTAAACTAATTTCCAATGGTTTTCAATTCAGATGTGTGTCTTCTGTTAATAGTTACATTTCTGTCCTTTCAATATTTCGTAATAGATTTGTAGCTTATAGGAGGAGTAAAGGTAGACAGATTATGAATTAATAGAATATGACTAAACCTTAACTGGGGGTTTAAGGAATTTACATTTAGAAAATGGAACATTATCGTTTCAGGTAATTTAAGAAACAAGTAGTGATGGTTTAAATAGACAGCATCATGTACTTTACTGATATTAGGAAATGAAGGTTGTAAAATACAGTTTTCAAGGAGATATAGCGTACAATACAAGGAAATTATCCAAGCTGACAATACGGAAAAATTGGCTAAGGCTTTGACTCCCAGATTAATAAAACTAAATGAGCAGCAGGCTGAGAGCTTCTCCCGTTCTCTCCTATGGACTTGCTTCTCCCTTTCTCTCCTGTGGACTGTTTTGTCTCCTCCATTTGTATGGTCGTTTCAGTTCATTTCATATTTTGCACATACTACGTCTTGATATTCTTTTATACAGGTTTTACTTCACTGTGTGTACAAGTAAATAGTTATAGCAAACACCTTACAAATGGATGCCATTGGTATCTCTGTTTTCTTTTGGTGTAAGAACCTTCTCTTTACTCACCGTTTTCTTTTTTTCTTCACTGCGCAGTTGCTTTACTCCCGAGGTCTGTTGATTGATCTTCTGATTAAGTCGAACGTTAGCAGATATGCAGAGTTTAAAAATGCGATGCGAATTCTTGCCTTTCGAGAAGGAAAAGTAGAACAGGTATTGTAAAATAATGTGTTGCATATGTTTAATCTCATCTTTTTCATGTCAAGAAACTTGAAATTGGTTTCTTGAGAGTTTTGTAACAATAAGCTAGTATTTTTTCTTAAGACTACGATTTTTATTTCATTTGTGCAATTGCAAGGCATTTGTATATATATAAATACTGAAAAAAAAACCCAGCTATAAAAAGCATGTGCAGTCCAGCAAATTATTGACATAAATCTTTGCCTCATGTCAAATATTTAGACCATGATTGACTTGGCAGTTAAAGATTCACAGGTTTTAGGTTTTTAGATTCCTAGCATAGACTTGTAAGTAGCAGAGAGACAAATCAAGAGATGCCATTGGTATGATAATGGCAGCAGAAGATTTTGGCACAGTTATTTAATACAAACTCTTTTGATTAACTCTGCAGTCAGCGATGCAAGTGAAATTGAAGGGAAATAAAAAGGGGAAGAGGCTGAAAAAGATTTTAAAATATTTTTATTGTGGAAAATTGGCTACTTTTATTATAGTTGTAAAAAAATAATGGAAAGAAGTATGTAAGAAAATAACTATAATAGAAAATAGTGATTGAAAATATTTGTTAAGTAATCAGACTATCATGTTGCTTGATGCTTTTCCTATCCAGAGTATGGAAAGAAACTGAAATGATTAAAAAATATTTTCCAGGTACCTTGTTCTAGAGCAGATGTCTTCAACAGCAGACAGCTTGCTATGGTGGAAAAGAGAATGCTAATGAAATTTTTGACATTTTGTTTGGACTATGAACAACACCCCGATGAATACAAAGGTAGTGTTTCTTTGAGCAGTGTACACTCTCTTCTTACGAGTTCATTCAGTTATGCACAATTTTGATAGCTCTCTGGTGTTTTCACACAATATGTTTTTATGAATTCATTTTCAAAGTATGCTTTGACCTTTTCATGACCTTTTCACTTCAATGTTAAATTCTTCTTCTTAAGCACTTGCTCTTCTAGTTCCCACATCATTTATTATTTACGTTTTTCTTTAACAGCAAAATTTTGTATTGCAGCAAGGTTGCACAATATTTTTTATCCTTTTTAGGTGTTTTCTTCCCCCTCCCAGGGATTTTTCAATATGGTGTGATGTACCTGATTTTTCTTTTCCCTTTTTTTGGTTAATATGTAAGTCTTCACAATATGTTAGAACAAAATCAGAAATGGAGAAAATGGAATTTTTTAACTTTTGAAAGTAAATGTAATTTAATGCCTTTTTAGTTGCAGAGGGCAAGTTCAAAGTGCCTTTATCAACTGTTGGCTTATTTAGACAAGAGAAAATCTGAATAGATTTGAGCCCTTATGTGTGAAGAATAATGAGCATCAGGTCAAAGAGGAAAATTGGCTAACAGAAGAAAGGTGATGAAAAACCGCGCTCTGCTTTGGATTTATGCACCTCAGGTCTACAGAGAATGAAGTGATGTTCTCAGTTGTTGGAGTCTAAAAGTAAACTAAGGCAAAAAAGGAGAACTCTGTCAAAAAGAAATAATGAGGAAAGAGGAATAGTTAAACTATTGATGTAAGTTTCAGACTGAAGCATATCAGTGCTTTTGTAGCTTGACAGTAGCTTGTCTAGGCAGTATTTTTGAAAGAATCTAGTGTTAGAAAGAAACAGTTGTTAAGATACTGGTAGTGGTTCAATTACTTGAACAAGACCCTTAGATTAGGTGCAAACATCAGAGAAAATTTTTTTAGACATATGCAGGAGAGAATTGTTCAGTATCAAGAATGATCTGATCAGATTAGGAGAAAGAGTCTGTAATGAACTCCAGAAAATCCTGAAGGGGTTAAAACTCATTAGACTGAAGTGGTTTATGAATTACAGGTAATTTTGTGTTTGTTGTTGCTGGAAGAAATGAAGGTGCTCAGAGTGAGAACATAGGTGCTATTTAGAAAATTTTCTAAGTAAAAAAAGGAGATGCCACATCAATTTTAACTGAATCCATTGATTCATGTACCTAAGTGACATTAGATTTAATTTACTTCCAGAGACAGTTAAACAGATTTTGGTCCTGCATTTTAAAATATCCTGGGAAATAATTGGGAATATTTTGAGTCAGACTTCAGAAATATAAAATTGCTCTTGGTGAGATCATTACGTTCGTGGGAAGGCAGACTTTTCATAGGAGGAGTTCATGATGGTGGAGAATTTTTTTAAAGCTTTTTTCTGTGAAATTTGGACTTGGGTAAGAAGTCTGAAGTGATGAAAAACTTGAGAAATTTTTTTAGAAAGATAAAGCAAAAAACCTCTGTCACATGACTTGCTGCATGGCTGTACAAAGGGTGGTAAGATCGTTTTGTAATAAAACAGTGGTTGACTCTGGAACAGAATATATAGCATGATAATCCTAGTCTCGGCATTGGTGGAAGTGTTTCAGAACTACTTAGGAATTTATCCACGACTGAAATAAGCTTAAGAGCAGATTTCTAAATAGAATGAAAGTATGCTATTGTTTAAATACAGTCTTTTCCTGGAAAAAGAAGTTATATCGTTCTTAAGTGAATTAAAATTTTTCAGAGGTGTATCCATGACATGCAGCAAAAGTTATATCGTTCTTAAGTGATTTAAAACTTTTCAGAGGTGTATCCATGACATGCAGCACTTGCGTTAAACATTTCCTGAAAGGCTTGTGTTTCTTTCGATTTCAAGATGTGTCAGCAATCATATTCATTTAAAGGGGAGATGCGCTTCCTCGTTTCCTGAAAGGCTTGCGTTTCTTTGGATTTCAAAATGTGTCAGCAATCGTATTCATTTAAAGGGGAGATGCGCTTCCTCAGCCCTGTTGGCTTTGTGTCTCATCCATGCTTGTTTGTTGCGAGCAAGTCACCAATTTGAAATAAATAGTGCACCTTCTCATCTTTGGGTTAAGGCACTATGCGAATGGCTTCTCTGCACGTAAATATACACTCCAGCTGTATCAGTATAGATTCAGCAGTGCTGTTCTTGAATGGGTGTCGCTCGGGCATCACGTTCTGGGTAATTCACAGGAAACAGCGTCCCAAGGCACGTCAATGGGTTTTTGTCCACAGCTGCTCGCTTTTCTCAGATGATTAATAAGTGAGTTTAGATCAAGTCTAACATAATGAACAGATGAAGCCATATTTAGAGGCTGCTTTTTAGACTGTTGGAGACCTATATAATAGATTTGCGTTATTTTGAAATATTTTAATGGAGTGATATTTCTGTCTTCTGAGAATTCACTTTATGGGAGTAAAAATTCTTACTTTGTTGACTTGGATTGTCTATTTTCAGCAAGATGTTTGTTGAAAAACTCAGGTGATTTTGTTTATTTAAATACAAAAGGACTTGTTCAAGTTGAAGCATGGAAGAAAACACAACTGTTATACTATACTCTTTACCTAATTTTATTTTTTCCTCAGACTATGAGAGCGGTACGTTTGCTGAGTTCTTAAGAACACGGAAGTTAACACCCAGCTTGCAGCACTTCATTCTTCACTCCATTGCAATGGTTTCGGAGGCTGATTGTAGCACTCTTGAAGGTCTTCAGGCAACAAAAAAATTTCTTCAGTGTCTTGGCCGCTATGGCAATACACCATTTTTGTTTCCTCTCTATGGTCAAGGAGAGATCCCACAGTGTTTCTGCAGGTAAGCTTAACTTTTTCTAATACTGCCTTCAAAAAGGAAATCCTTGGTAACCAAGTGCTGATAGATATTATTCAATAGAAATCATCTTGTTAACAATTTCATGTTGGTTTTATTTGCTTTATATTTTAATTGGCTATGAAATTCCTCCCCACAAAAAAAAAGAAAAAAAAAGAAAAAAAAAGAAAATATTTGGAAATTATGCTACTCTAATAATTGGAAACAATTTTAATTGTGTTACAAATGCAACTTGTAAAAGCTGGGTGTTGCGGTGGATGCCTATGGAAGTAAGGACTAGGAAATAAGAAGGAGGTAATTTAACTTGTACATAGCTATCCCTTTTTAAAATTGACAGAGGAGACTTGGAGAGGTGTCTGTCCAAAAGCATGACTGTGTATTTTGGTAGGTTGAGAAAATTTGTGGTTTAGTCTTCCTGAAGTTACAGGAAGATAAATGTTTTCAATTTGTGTTACTAAATAATGCTGAGAGTGCATCTACCGTTCATAGGTAGATATTAAATAACAAACTGGATTTTTCTGAAAGAAGCAAAATTGTGCCACGTGTCCAGTTTATTATTAAATAAAAACCATTGTGTAGTTCTTTCACCTTTGTTACATCACAGACTTATACAAACAGGGCAACTGGTGTAAAATCATCTCCTTATTCTCTTTGCATCATTTTGTAGATCTGTAGGGACCACGAGCTGCCACCTATGACTTGAACAGCAGAAGAGATATCATGAAGCCCTATTACACTGAACTCTATACAGACGGCAGCTTTACATTGCAACATCTTAAACAGCAGCCATATGTTCTCCACTGTTTGAGCCCTAGACAGTAATTAAAACAAAAAAAAACCCTGTTGATTTCAGGATAAAACAACATCCACTTCAACCCCTTCACTTGAACTGTGAGCACTGAGAATGTCGTCTTTAGCGTGACCCCCAAGGTGTGCTAGGGATCGTAGTTCTAGCAAAGGAGTTGTTGACGAATGCTTTCAGGGACCATAAAGAATACATGTGCAGAGGGTGGGCGGTTTTAATTTTCAGTTGTTTCCAACAGTTCAACTGGCTTTTAAAAGGCTGAGGGTTTTTTTTAGTCTTTTCTTTTGCTGGCAAGCAGCCTTTCCATCTGCTCTATGTGGGTTTTTAATGTAGTAACCTGTAGGTCTGAAGTAAACATTAGCTCTGTTTTAAAAAAGCAGTATTGCATGGTGAGACCATTTTGTTTTCTGAGTGATATATTTGTGTATATATATATATATTTTTTTTTTTTTAAACTATCAGTGTGAAGTTTTACTGCTTTCTTTTTTGTTAGTGCACAAGTTCTGCTTTTTACAAGTGTGCTACTACTAAGAAATTCTGGTTTATAGCATGCTGGTGGACATCATCTTCCTGTCTTGTCTGTATGATAGATTCTGGTTTTCTTCTCTGTACCAGTACTTAAATTACTTCTAGAAGAATGGCCCTAGCAGCTTGAGCCTATCTGGCAGTGTGTAGGATGGATACAATTATACGTTGATGGAAACATTCTGAAATAATTATCATAGCTCGTGGAAGATATCTATAAAGGAGCTGGTTGACACCAGCAACTGGCCAGATTGTGGAAGGTCTTATTTGGCCTTAGCAGCTAATGAAGGCCATGTGGAATTGTCCTGTATGACGAATATCCATAGATTACCTAATGTTTCCATTAGTTCATTAGACAGTTACCCATTGTTCTGTACTATATTGAATAGAAATGTTATTTGGTGACTTCATCTTTTGTCAATAGTCTTTCATCTGTGCCTTGAACGGTATTTGTGTGGAGATTTTAAAAAATGTGGACTTAGGTAATTAGGTGCTGGGAAAGACAATTTGTGAAAAAGAATTGGTTTTAGGTAAGTACTCTGGACACAGTCATGCAATACGACTTGTGTTCATAGATTTTATGGATGTCTTCCTGTCTTTACAGGACTTCATGTGGGACCAGATATCTGTATGTGACCAACAGATTAATGAATCAAAAGATGATCAGAGCTGTGATAGTAGCACGAATTTTGCAATTAGACCTTCCTTGGCTTCAAATACCTAGGGGGGAAAGTAGATTTAATAATTAAAATAGAAATTAGGATTTTAGTTCTATTTTTTTCCACTGTAGGTTTTTCTCAATATCATTTATCTTGTATTCTTGAAAGCCCTTTGGCTTTACTTTGTTCAATAGCCAGCACATGTAATTTTCTGATCTGTAACAGCAATGTATTTCAAGAGTTAGCAACGATGGTGTCTAGAAGTCTTATCAATATTCTTATCAGAAAATCTTTCTGTGATCACCGTAATTCTTCAGATGGCCTGAACATTCTATTTATGCCCATTGATAACCACATTTTAGTGCTTGGTTTTTTTTAATTGTGTGTCTTACAATAAGGACAGTATTTTAATAGCTGAAGCAAATTACCCTGTCAAACCAAGAAATAATTATAAAGGCTTATATTACAAACATTCTAATACAAAGTAAAGTCTAAATGTCCTTGGTTTTAAGTGAACAATTTAGGAGGCAATCACAGGTTTTTTTGAGATTAATTACATTTTTTATATGTTGTCTGCCTTGCGTATTATGTCTTGCTGAAACCGAGCAGTATCTGAAGAGTACTGTTCAGACGGGATAGTAAAGTGGTAGTGCCACAACCTATACATCATACCCTACAGTTTTTATCACCAGGTTATCAGAGGAAGGTGTCACCTGTTCTGTGATTTCTAACCACCGTTCTATATTCTGTTTTAATGTAAACCTCTTAAGCGTTTCTTGCAGCCAGTTACACTGTGTGTTCTCATCAAGGCTACTGTTATAAATGGCATGCATGCATATTTATGTGAATGAGTCAAAGACATTTGTAAGTCACATCCTTGCATTCTAAATGAATTCTGCATAAACAGTACAACGTTTTATAACTGCTGACGACACTTGAGTGAGTAAAAGCGGTGTTAGTTTTTTATTGGTTTAAACAGGTATGGTTTAGGAGAGAAAATTGAACTTTTATATCACTGTAATGTACTTCCCAATATGTCGAGGTACAGATGTGAGATTTCTATCTCCATAAATTGGATTCGTGGTACAAGGAAGGTCATTGGAAGCTTCATGCCATTCCGAGCTGACGAGCAGCAAAACTTCTCCTGGGCTGTGGAACAGCTTCCTTTGGTTCAAACTTCTTGGTACGAAGCTGTTATGTCTCTTCCTTTGTAATGAAGCAATAGTATTAAGCAGCCCTTTACGTTTGCTATGATAAACATATGATGGCAAAACTTCAACATGTAAGGCAGCTAGGGAAACCAATGTGTGTTTTGCAGTTTGCTGTTAACATGTTTGTTTCCAATGTGTGATACAGCTTTCATTTTCTTGAAAAAGTGTCACTAAAGAAAAACTATAATTGGGCATCATTGTAAACTGTAAGGCTTCAGTGATACAACATTTAGAATATTGAGTGATTTTGATGGGTTTTTTCCTGTTTTTTGAAAACATTGGGAAATACCCCAAATAGTTTCTGATGTAGGAGGTTAATGTTAAAATTTTCCTTTGTAACTGGGAGAAAAAAGATATTTGACTTAAAAATCTGAAATAGTTGTCAAATATGAGGACATTAACTCTTCTATGAACTAGGAGACGTGATTTAAGCTAAGGAAGAGGCAAGTCATAGTAAGACAAGTTTTTCCTTATAGCTTTTGCATGTTGTACAAAATTCCTCTTTCGTAACGTGAATCTCCTTTCATTCCTTCCAGTTTTTGAGAAGCAAAAACTTTTTGAGTCATTTGTGGTTTTGGAGAGTGTTTGGAAGTGCTGTTTTACAAATATTGTTTCAGATAGTTCACTTGTACAATTCAGCTCAGTGAAATACGCATCTTATTTTCAGTTTTCCTTTGAGAGGAAATCTTTCTGGAAGCTTTCAGTTGTGATTCTCTTCACCCGTGACCAGTGTTTAATGAATGGCAGCTGAGAAGTCAGTTGTAGGCTGCAGCCTCACTTCTGTGGTTTTTCTCAGTGCTTGCTTTCTGAAATGAATTTTGGGGGAAACCGTGCATAGTTCCTCTTCAGTTTGGTTTCAGATTCTTTTTTCTGGACTCTTGCAAATATGAACCAAATAGAAAGAAGACTTTTTGAGAAGTAATAGTGCAGTTTTTTCCCATTGGAATTGGAGACAGTATGCCGTCTGTCATCTCATAAAGGTTCTGGGGGGTGATGCATCATGTGTCTTTTTTTTCTTCATTAAGAGTCATCCAAGAATCGCCATGTGGTTGTGGTGATAGGTGCTGAGATGGTAAAGTGTCTTCAGTTGCTTTGCCGTAGGCATTAGTGATTCACTGACTTTCATGGGGAGCCAGTTAGTGACTTGCATTTCCTATAAGAAGGCTTTGAACTTTTACATTGTGTATGTATTGGGTGGGCAGTGTCACCTTTTTTTAGTAGTTGCTACAGATTCTGGCTGAAATGAGTCATTTTTGTGTCAGTGCCAGTGACAGTAGTAATTTTGTGATGGAGGAAAGATCTGATTGAGATGGTTCATCTCTTTCAATCCCTGTATTTACAAGAAGATTAAGAGTCCAGGCTGAGATATGATGGATTGTGTAATTGATTTGGAAGCTTCCTGTATATATTTCAAAAATTAGTAATCAGTTTTTCCCCTTACATTTGAGCTATTATCTGCTACAAATGTCGAAGCTTTGGAGGTAGTCTCAGGTACTTTAACATTTCCAATTATTGTCCCTGTTACAATCTTTAGGAAGGTTTTAGTGTTCTGAAATCAAGACTGGACTTTAGGAAACCTGACTGTAATAAGCACTTAGAACAGATATATTAAAAATATAGTGTAACATCTTTTTCATTTGAATCTGTACATGAGTGTCATGTCTCTACATGTAAGCAGTATGAATAACATCTGTCTGTTAATTGTATGATTTTGCATATTAATGAGAAATTCAAACAGTGTTAGTTCCTTGTGATGATCAGATATGACAGATTTGCAGTGTGAAA